CGTTTAAAATTTAGTGATCTTTGTCACTTCCTTAAAAAATTTCAAAAAATAAAAAAAATATATTTTAGCACATTATATTTTGTTTGACTTTTCCTATATCCGTTTCAGTAGTTTTCTAAACTGTATTACAGGAAAACCCAATATAAAGTAAAAGTAACGTAAGCCCGCCAAAACTAGACACGTAGTTAATAGAGAGTTGCCAGATCAACACTATTGCCTGCGGCAACTTGGCGGGCATTTAAATTAGAAGTCAAACTAGAAATCTTTAAATGTATGTGTGAATTGATAACTGTCTAAACGATTTATTTCTTAAAATTTTTACTTTAAAATTTTGCTTAAATTTTAAATGTTAGATATGTATATACATAGATATTTACATATATAGTAGTGTAAATTAATAAAAGGTCTAACTTTGTTACGGATTTCAACAATTGCCTTTATAATATTAGGTGTTTTTCCGTATAATAAAGCACACCTTATTAAATTTTCGAATCCAAAATTGGTATACTAGCTCCAAAATTCAAATATGACTAAGAATTGTCACACCTGACCGGGCTTTCCCAAATTATTTCCGCATAACTGCGAACGCCATTAAAAATTATTAACAAATGCTAATTTTGAGTCGACAAGGGGACTACGTGCCGAAGTCCACACAGATCCGTCCAGAAACCAATTAAAATCCTGTCGACGTGAATTTCTGCGGCGCGCTCTTGACGCAAGAGTATATATTTGACCTTAAACTATTGGGGATTTTTATTGGGCATGCCCAAAATCTGCATGTGACGCCTCTCTATCTACGCAAAAATCGAGAACAAATAAACCCATTGACCGTCAATCGTTCTGAGTTCCAATGACTCATTTGGCCCCAACGGCGGGCATGATATATTTTGATATATGACAAAAATGCACCTAGAATGCAATAAAAATGTCGAAATATTTTATGGGAAAACAAATGTCCCATTGAAAGACGATAAAATGATCGAAAGAAACCTGTTGCACTCCCCCAAACATGTGTAGATTCAATAGAAATGTTATCTGCTCTCCGTTTTCGAAACGGAAAATATCAATTTCACTCGATTTTCCGCTGTCGCGCGAAACCCAAGACGCAGTCCGTCCTTTTCCCATTTTCTGAGCTCGATTCAGGTGAAGTTCATAACCCAGGATAGTTGACACTTTGAGGCTTTGCTCCACTAACTCGATCTTGGGGTCGCCAAAGAGTCGCCCTTTTAAGCTGGTTTCGTTTACTCCCCAGTTATGAGCTCGTAAATTATTAGTTTCGATTTTAAGCGGCGCATTGTGTTTCCTTTTCCAATCCATTTCCTGCGAAAGTTGTAAAAGAAGAAGGCGCCAACCGACCCAACCGAACCCAACCGAGGATCCGATGGTCCAGAAGATCCGTTGGCACATAAAAATGCTTGTGTTGACGCCTTCCACGGGTTCGCCTTGTAAAAATCCCCAAGGGCACAACTCGAGTCCACAAAACGATCGATATAAATGCACAATATTTGGGTCTTCTTTTGGTAGTAATAAAGTCGTTTAAATCGCAATGCGTATTTGGTTTTCTTTCCGTTCCACCTTTCTTCTGGTAGTAATAAAGTCGTTTCAATTAGTGCTGGCAATTCCCAAAAAACGCGGTTCAAAAATTTCGGTAAGCGCCAGGCCTTGGGGTTTCATTTTTTAAAATTCAAGCCGTGGTTTTCCTTTGCTGTTTAATTAGTCTGACGTTAAAAGTGTTTTGCAGGAACCAAATGTGCACGAAGAAAAATAAATCAATAACGGATTGAAAAAGCTACACAAATATAACATTTTAATTCGAGAAAGTTCTTATAAATGGTAATCATATAATCAAAGTAAATAGTTTTATACTACGTTCCCAATTTGTTTATAGCGCTCATTAATGTGATGTTTAATTAGAGCGTCAGGAACAGCTCAAGTCATTGTATTTTTGTCCGTGACCTGGAGATGCAGCCGATTCCTATCCGACTTGGGCTGGGTCTTGGGTCTTTAGGCCGTGTGATTAGGTAATATTTTCGAGGGGGTTGGGTTGCCACAGAGCGCATTCCTCGGGCTTGCCGCATCATTTAACGGTTAAATTGAAATTGATATACGAGCCGACATCCAAAATCCAAAAATGAAAAAACAAAAATCCCCGAGATTTTTGATTTCGCTGGAACCGTGTACATGCGATGATATCACTGATCAAATGAGAAGTTCAATGTCAATGCTTGATGGGCGGCTCAATCGGTTTAAGAGCACTTTGTGTCAGGTGAGAGAAAGGGGCCCACCTGTTGCGCCGGTTCGCCCGAAGTTCATTGAGTTGTAATTAAAAAAAATAAACAGAACACAAACTCAAATAATGGAACACAAGAAAATATTAAGGGAATGGGGAGGGGACCACACGCAATCCGCTGCCTGTCGCACACATAAATCTCAATGGCAAATGCGGGACTTTCGAGGGATCCCCACCTCTGGACCTCTGGGAGCTGATGCATCACCATAACCTCCGGAAAAGAATCTTAAAGAAAAGGGTGCCAAGGGGTCTTGGCCAGGATGCTGGACAAGCCGGTTTTTGGGTAAGTGTGCTATATGCGTAGCAAGTTCGTAGGCCCCTCTAACATGGTGATTTATGAGAGCCCAGGAAACCAGGCTGCTGGCCAACTGGCAGTGGCCAACAAATAGAAGCCGCTCCAATTACATCAGTCAAACCACAGTTAAGGTGACCAAAAAACACTCCCCGAGGAACTGGAACTCCGCGCGGCTGTCACATTAGGCTGTTATAATCAGACAGAGAGCCAAGTTTATCGCCGGACAAGATCTCCGCAGGATTACCAGTCTAGACTTGGGATCTGCGTAGATCTTCGATCAGGGTCTCCTCTCTCCGAGATCTTGGCTCTGTTAACGGTCCATCTGCTGGCCAACAGCCGGTTTGGCCAACTTTACGACCGGCGCTATGCTGCTTCCTAGCCCATCGAAAATGTACCAAAATAAGGTGAGTCAAAACAAGAGATATGTACACTGTAAAAATTCAACTTATCATACACACTATAAATACAAATGGTGAGTGAGTGTTATTTTATTTCTGAACAAACTAAAGTTCTTTACTATCAACACAAATGTTCTTCGTTTAGTCAGAATAGTTGTCATTAGGATCACTTTAAAATAAGATCAAGCCTAGTTGGAATTATTATTACTATTTATCGTTAGTTCACCAACTAGTGTATGCAATATGTTTAAAGATTTCCAATCTATTGTTTCCTGTCAAGTGCATAGAACGCGCAAGATTAAGTTCTGATACCAATTTCAAAAAGGGGGACTTATAGAGTAACCCGAGCTCTGGCCACCAACTTTGAAGCCAGCTCGAGTCTCTCTTTTAATTTTATTAATTGTTATTGCCGCACGGTTACATAAATTTTTCCACTGCATGGCGATAGATAGCCGTTCCACTGATTTGGTTAATAGCCGCGATATCGATATCGATTTCGTTGGCAGGCACAATAAGAATTGCTCACATTTATGTAGATTGTGAAGAAAGGCGATCTATTGAGTGTCTCCGACATTCTTATGGGACAGCTTGAGTGATTGTGGGAGAGTCTGGGGAGGAATCTCTTCCAGATCCAGCAGCTCAAACACTAGAAGCTTTTCGAAATCCGAATTCAATAAGATAAGATGGTGAGGTTGTGGATGGAAATTGATGAAATCTGGCTGACCATCCATCTACCTAATGGTTCTATTCGATTAGTGAGTCAAACTTTTTCTTTTATCAGAGGTATCAACCCAGTTCATGTTTCCATCTAAAGTGATGCCCAAGTTCTTTCCTTAAGACCGTCTTTAAGTTGAAAAACTTGTTTGCTTGTAACAACACATAAAAGTAAACATTATTAGGAACTCATTTGGCAAATAAATGTTTGGTTTCTGGGTATTCTATACGTTTGTGCTCGGCGTTTCGAAGGGAACACCCATAGTACTGATCCGAAAATAGTGCCATATACTTCACCTATCCCTATCCTAGCATCCCAATGCCATTACCTAGTTCAGGGTCTCGCATGTGCTCAAGGTGCCCTTCACTGGGGCGCAGGCCAGATGATACCATCAATTGCTCAACACTGCTCCAGCCGAACCCAATTAAAAGCGGGCAGCAAATTTATTAAATTGCCATCGATGGCTGCCAAATTAAAATGTCAACGGCTTGCCGAAACCGAAAACGAAACCGAAACAAGAGGGCGGGGCAGGAGGTGGGCTCAAAAAGTGTCATAAACTTCTTTGACAGATTTCATTTGATTCATGGAACCCATAAATAAAGCTCGCCAAATCTTTGGGCGTTGCCCAAGCCGAAAGCCCCAAAGGCACTGCAGCGAAATCAAAGTCAATGCGAACGATGCATAAATATTTTGGCAAACCAAATGAGATTCATTTGCCTGTCATCGTCATGTGGTAAGCACCCGCACCAAGGAATGCAGAGCATAACCACGCCGATCTCGGCCAGATCTGATCCTCCGGCGACCATTGCATGTGTCGCCCCCATAATTCTTCGCCGATTTGGGCCACTTGATGATGACATTCATTGCTCTGGTGGAAGGCGCCATCCAACTTACCCATAAATCGAGTACTAACCACAATCGAAATGTGGCAACTACATCATGGGTGCAAAAACCAACAGTCCAAGCACCTGCCTCCCATTTCGAACACGGATTTAGTGCCTGCCTCGCAGATCATAACTTGTAACTGGTTCTCCTCGGTGATTCCATCTATCAGTTAACTCCTGGACGGACTTCTTTATGTGCCCAGCCACACCTTGGACTCGGAGTGACCACTAAATTCAAGTGCAATGGCACAGAGACAAGTTTTTAAATCAGATAGCTGCACCGAAATGTTTTTAGACCTCTCGATCCTGAAATATCTAGAGTTTCAACTATACAGCTACACATGTAACTTATGTCCAAGGACGAATATAGTTTATAGTTACTTTAAATTGTATTGGATTGAAATTAGTTTGTGTTGTAAGTTATTTCTTTATTTAAAATATTCGTTTCAGTGCATTACACCTTAGCCTTAGATGCTGGTTAGTTGGCTTTTTGAAGTTTATGTGGCCTATTTATGCATAACTTTTTTGGACGGTTTTCAGTTATTGTAATCCACTTGCTCGCCTATATAGATCCCGGAATCAGTGGCTCCCAGGAGGAAGTCTACCAGCGCGTTGTTAATATGTTGGAAGAAACCGCGAATGTCAATCAACTCCATGGCAGCCGAAGTGGTCACATAATGGGGACTATGGCCATTGCTACAAATGGCCAAGTCAGCCTGTTTGCAAAGCTGAAGGACGTAAGAGACACTTGGGACAAAATATCCGTTTAAAGTAAGCTGTGAGTATACCTTTTTAATCGCCTGCCCAAAGTAACACATGAGCACCACGATTGGTGGACTCGATTCCTCGTCATCGTACAGACCCAACAGCGAATGGCAAAGGACCGAAGATCCGCAGCTCATCTGTGAGATTATAAGTATTCCTAAATATGTGTCTGGATCATGTGGGACTCACCTGCATACTGGCCGCCACAAGAGTGGGCCAGTGCCTCTGCCACCAACCGCCCCACTGAACTTGAAGAACCTGCCGGGCATTCAACATCAGCGGGCGGTTTTGGAGTCGCCGACGATGCAGCATGCCAATGGAAGGGCTGAAGCCGGGCTCCCGGATCACGGTCATCGGAGCTGGAAACTTGCCCCTGGTAAAATACCCGTGCAGTTCCGAGGCAGTCACATTTTGGACGCTTTCCTCGCTGCTGGAAAAATGTTTCCTTCGCACATGTTTGCTTCTAAATGTTCTGCGACGCCGTTTACCGAATTTTTTCATCGCACTGTAAGCTGGAAACTTTGGGGGCTCAGTCTGACTAGAAAAAAATCTTAATATTCCATATTCCGCAGGTTTTGAGATCAAATTAGTTACTTTTCGGGTCCGAAGCAGCGTCGCAATCCATGGTAAATGTTGTCCATAACAATAAACAATTCCTGTACTGGCATTTTGTTGAAATGCTCTACTACCAATTTTGTCTTGCCAATTTCAGTGTGACTTTCCAATTGAGAAATGTTCAGAAGCCCGAAACGGGGGTAAAATGTTGATTCACAAGTTTCCCACCATTTTGGGAACTGTCAAGTGTCTACGCCTGCCCAGAATTATACATCTGCTGCCAAGAACTGAAATGTTTTTTACTAGGCGGTTTTCAAAACCCCAGGATTAACGCCACTTCGGTCATAAATAAATGATAATACCAAATCGTCAGTGTTGCATGGAAAACTGGAAGAGACAGGCTGCAAATGCACTGAACTTACAATCATGACGTGTGGTGTATGGCCCAAACAAAGAGCCGCACGTTTTTCCGCGTTCGGGGAAATTGTGATTAATTTCTGTTCCGATAGATCTGCGTGAAGAGCCAAGGCCCACTCGGATAGTGCACTCATAATTTATGGCGGCAGTGGCTGCCATCATAATTAGCATTGCAATCTAAATCAAAATATTTACAAACCAATTATTGTGATTAGCGAACGCCGCCGCAACTTCCACCATAATCGATCACCCAGCTGGGCATTCTCGCCCAGGTCGCCGTTCCGTAATCCATACTCCAATACTCGATCCAATTCGATCCGAACCGATCCGATCCGGGCCCCAACCCCACCCCCAATCGACTGGGTGGCGACGACAGCAGTTCAGAGTAATCATAATTTGCATGGGCCTTAACCCATAGGAAGATATAAAAATTCCTAAAACAATTGCGACAGGATCGTTTCATCAACCGAACCTGCAGATTCTTTCTTGCAGAAAAACAGTTCAGAAGATAAAACTATCTCTCCGTTTATAAGATGCTTGGACTAAAAAACTAAAGGTTACTTTGCCATTACATTTATTATCTAAAACATATTTCAAAGCCCGTGTATTTAAATGCGTTTACTATTTTCCAGTACCAGGGGTTAACATGTTTTCGCATCAGACATGTCACTTGGCTAAAGACAAAAGACAGCGTTTGGCGACAGAATCTGTTTGAGATTTGCTTTTAATTGATTCGAATCGATTCGATTCGAGTTGAATTGAATTGACTTTCTGTCAGTCTGTGTGTCGGCTGCTGGCAGTGTGTTCGTCGCCATTTGCTGACAGGCGCTATTACAATTTTATTAACATAAATTATTGCGTTCGATAGATCCAATCGCGAGTACGTAAGTCGCCTACAACTAATGGAAGCTTAATGGTTGTAAGTGCTTGCTGACGGAATTCCCCTCCGAAATTACTTTATTGACCCAACGCGCTTTTGATTGCCGATTTGCTTTCAATTAGTCCTCGATATTATCATATCTTCGAAATAACTTGGGTTGTTATTTGCTACCAAACAGCGATATCATGTTGGTTGTCACTGGACATTGCAATACATATCTATCTATATCTTAAGACTCAATCTTAATCTGTGATCTGAGCACTGTGCACCAGAAAAAGCCGCCAGCCTTGAGGCGTTTGGATGGCGCGTTTTTAATCGCGCGGGAAACGCGTGCGATTGGATCAAGAGGTAAAAGACTGGAAGTCAGGTTTACGAGGATCGCGTGGAGAGTTGGGGGCTACCCAAGGTTCAAAACCAGCTGCTATAATTCGGGCTATTTAAACACCTTAACGGACTTCACTTGCCACATTTTCGGTCGGCCACGGTTTTAATTAATCTAGCATCTCGCCCGACTTTCGCGGAAAAAGGGTCAGAGGTCGTTGAGGCGAGCACATTAGGCTGGAACACTCGACTGCCGGGTTAATTAAGTCATTAGCCCGAAAATGTCCTGCTGCTGCCGCTGCTCCTGCGCATAATTAATCATTTTAATTGTCTGACTTCTTGTCAAAGGGCGAAGGGGAAACAGGGATACTACGGATAATACGGAGAGCGCAAAGGGCAGATCGACATTCCAAAGGTTGCCTTCGAAAACTGCGGGGGAGTTCTCCCTGTCGTAGTTTATTTATTGGAATAGGGATATTTGGCATGTGCTTCCCCGATTCAGCAGGCGTCAAATTCTCGGTCACAAAATTCTTCCATTCCGGTTAATTGAGTTAATTGTTTTGGGACAGCCTTTTCCGTGGTTTGGCAAAACCACTTAGACACTTACGGGCAGCATTTTGAAATAAATTTGAGCTGCAGTAAAAATTTATGGTCTATGTAAATTTGTTTTATTCGAAGGAAGCCACTTTAACATAGCCAAAAAATGAGCTTTGTAAAAAATACTGTCAACAGCTTAATCATACATGTTATAATGCACGACCTTTTGAGTATTTAAAATTCGGTATGGACATTTAAGATTTAAAGCCTCATGGTTTAAAAACAATGAGAACAGTTTAACATTTTTGATTACATCTGGATACTATTTATAAGCAAAATACTATCCTCCAAATTCTAAATATGTTTCATAAATCACCTCTACCTCACCTCATAATCAAACAAACATTTTAAAAAACGCTAATAAATAATATTTTCCTGCTTTAAGAAAAACTTTGCGTTTTCGCGCCATTCCCAATCATTCCCAGCCTGCTGTTCCCACCGGCAACACCCACTAAATGCGACTGTTCGGAGTATTTCTGCAATTCCCATAGTGCCTAGTGTCAAGTCCATTCATACACACATATGGGTATCTGCACCATGTGATTGTTTATAAGCTTCTTCTAAATAGATAAGATAAACGAGTTTCGCAGCGGTTTTAACTTTCATTTGACAGTATTTTCGGGCTAAATTTTGGACAACACCTAAAATTAGCCAAAAGTTCGGGTGATCAGAAATAGATTGTGTGACATAAGAATGTCTTATTGCAGCCATAGGCAAATGAGTTGGTCAAAGTTTAGGCCTTATCAGTGCCAGTACGTCGATGAGATTAGCACATTTCATGAGTTGGCTCTCCCACGCGACTGATTCACGGCAATATTTAACCCAATAATGCAGGGCACTGTGTGGCGCTTATGGTTGCACTTTGTTTTGTTAGTTAATTGGGGTTTGTGCAAATCCACGCTGGCTGGCGAAATACGAAAAAGCTATGGAAAAGGTCTACGCGCCAAAAGGCACAACCGCCACCAAAAGCAATCCAATCGGAAACAAAAAGCAACTGCAATCTCACCGTTCACAGTGAGCCCCCGTTGACTTGGGGCTCAAAATAGTCGCATAACCCTAACAAAATTAGAGGGCCAGTATATTTTACGATTTAAACTATCTTGAGCGGTTTTTATATGTTTCAAACTTTAACACAACTTTTGTTTAGAACATTTGAGTTGAGCTTTAAGTTCGAAAGTGCTTTTTATACCTGTAGCCTACATTGTAGCGCAAAATTTCAGAATTTTTTGTTTGACAGTTACCACAAACCAATTATTTATATTTCGTGTGAGCAAAAGTATATTTACGAATGATTGTTTACGATTTCGAAAGAAATCGATCAGAATTTATACATATTCTAAATAAATGGAAATGAATAAAACTTTTTTTAGTTTTTGGATCAACTTGAACCAATTGTATTTCCTAACAATTTTCTATTTCAACAAGGGTTGAACGTAAAGGTTCCATGTACAATAATTAAAATAAATTAAAATCAAAAATGTCTTTAGCCCGAAGTAGGCTCTTTGTTAACAAGTAACAAATATACAATAAACAACTATAAATTTATTCATAAATGCATTTAATATTTGAGTACAATGTGGAGCTAGTAACAGTGGTTTTTAAGCACCAACAATGTGAAACAATAGTTTTAAATGTTTGTAATTAAATATTATTAGTTTCCATTAAAATAAATATCTTGTTCAAAGTATACAAAGTATAATTAGCAATCAGCGAAATGCAAATCCCTCATACCGCTATTTTTGATACTAGACCTACAAGTTCATTCACTTGAGCCGCAGTTTCGTCAGATCGCAATGATGAATTGTAAATCATGGATAAACCCCATATCGTTCACTATAGTTCTTGTCTTTTCTTGTCGTTTACCTGGCTCGCCCACTGCTCGCTCTCACTCTCGCCATCTCCCTCCCGCCGCACCGCGCCGCATCGCACTCTCTCTGTCGCGCTCGCCCCGCCGCAATCGTGCTCGGCATGAACGCACGAAGCGTCGTCTCATCGACAGGGTCTGTTTGCTCATGATTTCAGTCTCCGACTAGCACGCTTTGGGAAAACACAGTGAGCGGAGCGTCCGCAGTCGCAGTAGCACTCGAAGTCCGCTTATCCGCAGCCGCAGCGCTTTCGAATTTTCAAACCTTCCATTCGATCCGATCCATCTGGCACATCCTAACCATCTAATCGTATCCCCATATCATCGTGATCGCGTCCGTAATCGCTCCGTTTGGCCGTACTCGATGTTCCGGTTTTGTGTGCAATCGAGTCCGAAGGAGATCGAAACAATAATCTCGCCGGATAGGAAATCTGAAGCACGAAAGTTCGTTTCGAAATCCAAGAGAGTCGTTACAATTTGAAAAGGCCGCAAAAATCGTTTAGATACGAGAAATTCGACGATCTGAAAATATATGAATATATATATATGTATATATATGTATTTGGTTTGTGCTGTGTTTTAAAAAGGAATATCAGAAAAATATTATGAAAATGTTGAATTGTAGTTGCCCCAAGTTTTAAAGTGTGCAAGTGCAACTCTCTGAAAATCAACGAAGAATACAACGCGTCCAAAAAAAGAATCGTAAAACAGAAAAAAGCAAACAAACATAAAAACAAGGTGCGTAATTTTCTGTTTCAACGCTGTTACATAAGTTCTTTTTTTTAGTAAGTTTGTTGTTCCTTGAAGTATTTGTTCAAATGTTGCAAAATGTTTCTTGGATTTCGCTCTTTCGTATTATTATTAGATTTTATGTTGGAAATACTAAGATTAATAGTTCAGTTCTTCGGTCTCTTTAGGATGAGTATTTAAATAAAATATTTTAAATTCGGGGGATTGTGGCAATTCGTTTCGTAACTTTCAAAATAAAATAAAAATTATTTTCCACTTGGCAGCGGGCCGAGTAATAAGTTTATTTAAATCTAATCTAATCCAAAGTAATTAAATAACCAAATGTATAAATACGAAATGCAAAATAAATTGATTTCAACAAACAAATAGCAAGCTAAAGTGAACGGCAAAAAACAATTTTATATTAGTGGCATGCTAATTGAAATAATTTAAATTATCGGTTTGATTGATCAACACCTATGGAGAATTATATTACTAAAGAAGTAATCTGAATGCAGTTAGCTATAAAGAATTTGAATTTGATTTACAGACAAGTTTTTTCAAGTACTTTTCCGCGTTAATCTGCCCCAAATAAACAATAAGTAAGACAAACAAAATGTAGCAAATTTATTTTTTTGCAAACCGGTGAAAGCAAACGACCTTAGGAGAACCTACTCTATAAAAGCGAAATTCAAATAAATATAATCACACACTGTTTGGGATTATTTATAGTTTTTTTTTTGCAAACTCGTATATATTTGCCAATCTTTATTGCCGTCTTCAAAAGTATCTATGTATCTGCGAATTGTGCGTATCTCTATTTGCAAACGCACGCAGGCGCTTTTAATCTCATTTCACCACTTTTCCCTATAAACTTTTTTTCTGCTCACGCTGCGCGTGCACTTTTTGTCCTATAAATTGGCGGCGCTGACTATTATCTAACATTTGTGCGCTATTATCTAAGCTGGCTTGTTCTGCTTGCTGTTCCTGCGGCTGATTTGCGCTGCGTATCTGTATCTGTATTTGTATCTGTATCTGTATCCGTGTGCGAACTTGCGTTATTGCCGCACGCAAGTGTGCGTCGGGTTCAACAACTGCTAATCACATGCCGGATCACAGTTTGGACAGCCGAGCGACAGACAAACTGCGAAATAGGGGACCGCGATAAAGAATAAACTGAATGAATTTTGGCTAAGTGGACTAGTGGGTGATATCCTTCATAATTGATGGCAGCGAAGAGTGCTTAACTTAAATCAGTGTCGTTATTTATAGAAGCTATTAACTTTTTGGCATTTTAAGATTTTGTTGCGGCATTTTTCAAACTCGTTTGGGCTCTAAGAAAAATGTTTTAAATTGTTCCTTTTGTTTTTCATCTTTAATTTTTCACCCTTTACTGTGCAATAATACTCGTTTGAAATCTAATTGAAATTTATTTTTTATAGTATAATGGTTACATTTCGGAGTCTATTTTATTTATATAACACCCAATGAAATTACCTTCAAAGTCAAGTTGAATAGCTTTTTAATTACCGAAATTTATCCCTTAAGGTGCATAACTTAATGAATAAAAATGTATATCCCGATCAAATTCCATTTCACTTTTCATTGAAGTTCTCACGCACAGTTTCATTAACTAAAAACCAAGGCCCCTTAAGGGCAAGAAAAATAATTGGCTAATTGTTTAGTACCCCTTACGAAACTTTTTCTGGCTACGTCAACGATTGAATAATTGAAAGCCCTTCGTAAAATATACACATTTAGACATAAGTTCATGCAGAAAAACAAACGAAGGCATTAAATTCTGAGGACAGTCCCGAATTAATTGAAAAGAAAATTAATTTTTTGGTAGTAAAAAATTAAGTGTGGAATTTGTATATTTATTGGACCCCGGAGACTGGCGTGTTTGCCTTCGGACTTTAGATGTCATAAAGCCAGCCAATCATCAGGTTTAGTTCTGAAACGCGTGTGTTGGGTAACTTTTCGCTTGGGCCTGTGACACATCTACAAATTGTGCCTGATTGATGGGCACCAAGCAGTGAAGGCAATGTTTGAAATACAACGATCATAATTCGTAGATAAAGCTTATCGCATGGAGAAGAAAAAAGTTTTACGGCCGTGCGTAAATAGTTTTGCGGTTTGTTTTCCCTTTTTGCCAAAAGTGGCGCATAACACTGGGAATAAAGTCGACTGAAGTCGGCGCAGGCAGGCGGAAAATGCGGGAAACTCTGTAAAAATGCAGCGTTGTTTTAATGAAGCGTGAACACTAGACCACATAATGTGCGGCATACATTTGGAGACTCACACACACGATCTCACATGGCAACAGCCTTAGGTACACCGCTATATTAAAAAGTGGGCAACAAAAAGGCGAAATGAAAACGAGAAAATCGTCGCGTATTTTTCTTTTTTTTTTTTTTTGGCGGTTTTCCTTCTTTTTTATATATTTTTTGGGTTGTTTGACGTTTTGTTTAAAAATATCCTAGACGCAATTGCTGTTTTTTTGGCTGCCTTTTGGCACATTACTAATACGTCGCGTTGTCTTTGATTTCTGTTGGTTTTATTTAAAAACGACGGTTTTCCTTTTAATTTTCGCACGTAAAGTGCGTGACTTTTAATTAGACTACAATAAATGTGCGAAAATGTGTGGGAGATGAGTGTGCCTGTGCACAATGTTGGTGAAGGCAAGAGATACATTTGAAGTGAGATACTTTGCTAAAATCTAAGTGTTGAAATTTTAATAAACATAAGGTTAATAAACCAAAAAATAATTTGCTAATTTTTTTTGACTGTAATTTTTTAGGGAATTTTTTCTAAGCACTTCGTTGATTGTTTGTTATTATACGCGTATGTAGATTATCTATCGAGGTAACTTTTTCATTTTATTTTTCTTGTGCAAATCGCTGCGGCCTGCCTGCCTTTCTATATGTTGTCAATATATCTGGCGACCGATATTTGCTTTGTTGTTAGCATCGCCGCATGTGATTGAATCGAATTGCTGTGTGGCGTGTGTGCGTGTATCTGCGATTGTGCCCTCGCCTGTCTCGTGCACTAAATATTTAAAATAGCTGCATCTTGAGAGGATTTTTTCCGCTGCCGCTGCGACTGCGACTGCGGCAACCCAATTGCTTCCGGTTCAAATCGATTACACAAAAGCGCTGCCTTTGAGCGCTCAGGTTTTCCACCGTACTTTTCTTTTCTACTTTTCCCTGGCGGCGGTGCTTTCCCCGCGGATTGTTGGCAAGTATCTAACAGTGATGCCTTCAAGTATCTTATGCCCGTTTCCATACGAATGAAGTGCACATCGATTAGTGCATTTGGCTGGCTGCCTGAGTTATGTTTCGGTATCTTTTTCATTTCCCCCGTTCGACGCTTTTCTTGTTTTTCCAAAGAAAATTAATTGTTTTGTAAACACGAGAGTTGAATCGAGGGGCGAGGGTATGGGATCCAAACAGAACCAGATCAGCGACAATAATCCTCATCCAAATGCATCGCCTTGTTTGCATTCTGGTGGATACTATCTATACGGCAGTTGTCACATCAATCTTTCGCTAAGTATTCCATAATACAAAATAATACACGAATGTAGGTATGGAACAAGTACTATATGTATATTTATTCTCGTTCAATCTTGTGACAAGTGTCAACACGACAATGAACGTCAGACTCTTAACGGGGAAAATAAATACAAATTTATCTTCTCTTGAACATTTCTTTGCACATTTGTTAAATTCTTTTCGCTTTCAACGTGGCATTGAAATACTTATTTTTAATAGTAGGCAAAATAATTAACCTAAAATGTTGCAGCTCACAACATTGTTTGTCTATTTGTGGGCCTAATTTACTTTATTGCCCAAACTAAAGTTGATCGAAGACCATAACCACAAGCCATGAATAAATTGCACATGTAAGTGAAGAGTCTGGGAATTTGTGGCTTTGGCGCCGTTTGTTACTGCCAACCGCAAGAAGAATGAGATACGACATTGCTAAAGGGTTTTCTGGGTAATAGATTCGCGCAATAAATATTACAAATTAGCTGCGCTTCTGAAAACAAACCAATAAATCTTACAAGAGACCATATAGGAATAAATAATATATATAAAAATAAATACAATTAGGAACAGGAAACGTACTCTTCTGAATGCTTTAACCGGTTGTCGTATTAAATTTATTTAAAGCAAACGTTATGCTAATTTAATTAATCATTTCAATTGTTATTCTGTTACTATAAATTATTTAAAATTTTTCTGAGCGGGCAAAACGAGTGAATCATTTGCATACTAGCAAAAACCTCAAAAGGGTCCAAACAATTTACATATGTCCAACATTTTTGCCTGTAATAAATGTCCAAATAGCGTTTCTCGCCTTTGTCTTTATTTTGGGGTAGCCAACCGTCCGACATGAACTAATTAAGTTGCGCAGCTCGGCTTAGATTTATGGCCATCCAGGCGATCCGCCAGATACATACGATCCGGCGGATACTTTCCAAATGCCACAAAACCCATCTGTCAGCGCCGCCATTAAAAAAACGGCTGCCGCAAATGTCAAACGCATTTCAACGCATAAACTATACGTTTCTCGATAAAAACAAAGCAGTTTAAATTTGCTAATCAGCTCGATTCTGATCGATGACTAAGGTCTTTCTGCGGTTTCAGTGGCTTCCCAAAACCATAATGGGCTTTTGCTTTTCGACTTTTGACAACTTGTTGTCGAGCTGTTCGCAGTGGAAAGCTGTACAGGCCATATTATTCATCGGAAAAGATTCTTTTCGCATGAACAATGGGATGGTTTTATAAATGTGTTTTTGACACTTCGTGGAATATTAATTTATGCAGCCAATTTATTACAACATTTGAAATTGTTTAGTTGGCAATCATTCCTATTTTATCTGATTATTCATTTTAAAAATCATCTGCGTTTTGAAATAACATTTGCCTAAACGGCCTTTTTGTGTCCATATTTATTCACAAATATGCCTTTTACTCCCATTGTGGGCATTTAAGATCATTTTATTATAGAGCTAATTTATTTGCTGACCAAAGATGCCGCCACACGTCTCTGGCCATTTATTGTTATACACTGTATAAAATACAATTTCTTTGTGTTTTTGTGCTTTGGGGGTCGCCATTTTTTTTGGGTTGGACATTAATTTGATTAGGCGACTGCCACCGAAGATTGCCATTTAAATCTGGGTTAGGCGAAGTTCAAGTTTTATAACAGACTAGAATCCACTGGAATGTTTTTTCCATACTTATCGTTGGACTTTCGCTTTCGTTTAGAGTAGTTTGCCAGAGCAATTACGGCAATCAAATTTTGACTCTGATTCAATATTGCGTTTGATAATATATACATATACTTATTTAGGGCCTTTTGGGAGTTGAGCGCACCGGGGAGAAACCACAAAAGATTTCATTATTTTTTTATGCCCCTCATAATTTGTTGAATTGCGGAGGCTTATAAATGACAGATGAGCCGATGGCCTGAGGTCGTAAAAACAGATATTTTTTAATTTTGGCCCTACGAATCATAGGTGTTATTTGTATACTCCATCTACATTTTAGGTATTTTTTCCTCTCTGCTATTTTTATAACTTTCGGCATGTGTCAAGACACGCTTCCCTTTTTGGGTTTTTTATCTTTTTTCTTGCCGGTGATTTTGTGGTCGTTGAGGCTGGAACTTTTGTTGCCCTTACAGAATTCCTCATAAATTCTACTACTGAAAAAAAAAAAAACATAAACAACACCTTGAGACCGAATCTGCGGCTGGCTTGGCACACATTTTGCCTGTTGTGGCACATATACATTTTATACAGCGTCGTATTTGGGTGAAAGGCATTAAACCGCCGGTGGCAAAGGTTTAAATTCATTTTCTTATATGCTGAAGGATGAAGAAAATCTGAGGAATTTTGCTGATTTTTATATTACACATATAATATTTGGTTTCTCTGATTCATTGAATCGCGTGGGCGTCTTGTTTTTATAACTTTATAGCGGACTTTACGATCTGAAGGGCTACATAACTGTTTGGAATGGTTTAGGTTTTTGAAAGCGAATATAACAAAACTCAACTCAAAGTCAACGCATTGCATAACATTTTACTGGCAGCTTGGACAGAAGGACGCAAAAGCAATTAACATGTTGATGGGACAGAATTTCGTGTTGCCTCTGGTTTGTCGCCAATTGGTTTTTCTGGTGTCTTCCTGCTGTTTTTGTTGTTTATGGTAATTAAAACGGGGTGCACTTAAATGTTGCAGAAAAAATTCTGCTGCGTAGGCTTGCCTAGCTGAACACGTGCCAAAAAGACACAAGTCGAGTGGAAGTGCAGCGGCAACGTCACTCAGCCGCCCCGTCGCCCTGCGAGTATCTCATAGATACGTAGATACACGGATACTATTTGTCGGCGGAGTTAGTGCGTGATTATTTTCAATTCGACACAGTTTTCTCAGCGAATTGCTTTTGTTGCCCATTTTATTTTTAAACAATTTGCCTGTCCGCCACTCTTGAAGGGGCTTGCTCTCTCACTCGCTCCCTTTGGGAAAGTCATTTTCGATGTTTTCACCGAGTTTTTCCTTTGCGTAACTGCTCCCTTTGGGCAGTTTTTATGTAACCTCTTGCCGATCACTTGTCGCCCATATAGATGCAATTGTATCTTTGGCCCGTTGATAGACCGTTGGCTAAAATTAAACTGTGCCACTTGGTCGTTGTTTCTTTATATAGGCGAACGCTAATTAAAATGTCAAAAATTGCGTTAAAAGCGCTTAGCTGAAGAATTTATGCACAATTTGGCTTAATCCAAATTTGTGTTGCGAATATGTGCTTTGGAATTTTCAAAGCCAATTCAAGAAGGCCATAAATTTAAGGCTAAGCAACTGAGTGTCACTTGAGTTATTTTACGGTGCAGATAATCTGTTAGTTAATGACCCATACTCTGTCAATCACAATCAACTAAATGTTCTTCCAAAACTCTTTTCATTGCAGTTCATCAACTATGTTAGCCAACGAAAATTTGTACGCATAAAAAAGCAGAGATTGCTTCATTTCTCGCTTCCCAACTAAACAGCGGGAATTTCTGACATGACAAGAAAGTCATTGGCGTTGATAAGATGCATTATCAGCGGGGAAGACGAAGATGAAGATCCGCAACAGCAACAGAAACAGCAGCAATTGAAAAGTGTTGAACAAGTCTACGATATGATAACCTAATTTCCTGCCAGGAAAGAGGCGAAAAGATTTTAACGAAAATTTAAACGGGCTCAGAGAGAGACTTTTAAACAAAGCCAAGTCAGTGAAAAGAAAGAAAAAACATAATCGAAACGAAAGTAAGAGATTTCTGAAAACGAGGCGTACATATGTTTTAACGACACCCGAGGGCGTGGCGAACGCCCAATAAACTGGCAAAAACAGTCTATAAACAACTGCGAGTCAAGCGATTTATACAGAAATTATAGACATTCGGATTCAGATTCAGATTCAGATTCAGATTCAGATTCCGAACCGGGCGGAAAACAACGGCTCGAGAAACCCCTGTGAACCAAAGTGGTGATCTTTGATGCGAATAAACCTGCGCTTGGACTGGAGGGCCCTGGCGCTGCTGGGCGCCCTCCTCTCGTTCATCATCGCCTGGCGGGGCCTTGTATCTGCGATGCCCCTCATGGCCATGGACAACAACCTGACAGACTCATCCGGATCCACATACACACCCACATTTAAATCCAACAGCACGAACAATAGCAATCTGCTTAGTAATAGTTATCTACAAAGTGATCATAGTCGTAGTAGTTTAGTGCCGAGCGCAGTGAGTGAACGTAGTGTAAATCAACCCACAAATCAAAGTATTAATGCTGAATTTAATCAGAGCCTAAGCACGCATCCGACTGCCATAACAAGCACACCACATACCCAAAAAGTCCAATCCCAATACCCATCCCAGGAGGAGGACTCCGATCAGCTGGAAGAGCCGCTGGGATTCGTCATCTCAGCGATGCCGAACGAGCATCTGGCAGTCCTGTCGCGTACCGAACGCAGCATTCGTCACCAGAGTCAGCAGCAGCAGAAGAAGCACCATCATCACCAGCAGCAGCCTATGTCGCCCGCTGACAACAATTTCATTGGTTCGAAATCGAAAAGACTGAGCAACCCTAGAAGTAGTCTTAACATAAATAGCAGTAGCAGTAACACACCCATCAGCAATCTGGACCGTAACGAACGCTCCACAGTGCCACAGTCCCATTTGGCCTGGACTTCCCGCAAGATCCAGCTGTACATCAAAAACCGCATCCTTCAGATTTTGCGGGATGGCGTTGTCAACGGAACCCAGGACGAGAATAGTGAATTCAGTGAGTAGAAAAACCCATTTACGGAAAACATGAATTATAAGTTCGTTAGGTGACGAATGCTTTGATTATGTACATCTAGATAGTTACCAAATTCGTTCTTCTAAAATGTGAGGTACCAATAGTTTCTATCTTCGCCAGATGTGATTGCCAAAGATCTATTATTTGATCTCGCTGTAATGAACTTCAAAGTGGACGCCACCCAACCCCCCACCCTCTCATTACTCATCTTGTATTTCGGTTTGAATATGTTTAATGTTCAGTTTCTTCGGGGGTTTTGTTTGGTTTTTTTCGAACCACCCATTCCATTGGACTGCATGAAGAGCCAAATAAACTAATGCCAATGGCCATATGAAATATTTAGAGTATCAGAAATAATACAAGCCCCCACTCATCAGCAGAGGGATGTGTGTATAAACACACCGATCGATGTAGTCGGGGTACCCCACCTACAAATGTAGAGCGCCCACAAGTTGAAAGTTCTCATAAAAGCGCAAGATCGGCGCAAGAAATCGTATTTTCCGCGGCTCCCGTCTGTTTATGTTGAGCATCATTAAGTTAGACACTTGATTTGGCAATGCCTGTGGCCCCCGCTTTGTATTATTTGGCATATAAATTCTTTAGTGGGCTAAGGACATAAATCTTGCCTTAATTAACCGCTCGCCCTGATTAGCCGTGCTCCGCTCCGCTGGGAAATGAGTCAGCTTCAGTCTGATGGAGATGATCATGGGATCAGCTCCTCGGCACGCAGCATTTGCATAACTCTTGGGCTGCCAGTCGAATTAATTTACAGCTTCATTTTCATTGACTTCCCTCCAGTTGGCCAGCAATTTGCAGCACTGATAAAGCAACCGAAAAACTTGTTGTACAACCTCATTCCGGTTATTCGCTTATCGCCATTGAGGAACATCATCGCGAGCTCCCCAGATGCCGCATAGATAGCGGGGATTTTGTTTCGCCGGGTTACAAACTTTTAATTCACCACCGCGCTTGTACTTTACATATCTGCCGGTACCTGCCGCAGGTGTTAATTTGATTTTGAACTCGATCAGGCGGCGATAATGCGAGTGGAGTGCGATAAGATTGAAATTGAAATTGCCGTGAATGGGAGCTTTCGAGAGTTTGTGGGAGTTGTGAGCGCTGGGCATGATTTTTATGGTCAGGGAGGTTTCTCCAGCCGTTGTGGGTGCTCTCACCCCCGAACTTGGCACTTTCACAGGCCAAATCAGTGGCCACTAAGCGAGCAATTTGTGTTTGTTAGTGACTGAGTGGCGCTTTTATGGGCTGTTAATTGTACAAAGTGCTCCAAAAATCACGTCTCCGCATATTGTGCTGAACTTCTGTGAACTTCTGAAATCTTTATCGCCCGGAATAAACTTCTTTCGCACTTGACAGCAATATCTTTAAAATTACGTTTAATGGGGATATTTTTGGAACAACATAATTGTATGTTCACTATGTACCTATAAATCGCTGGAAAACGTTAAGCCACAGTGACAACTGCTTCGAATTAAAGCTGTCCAAACAAAATGAAAAGTGCCAAATATTGTGCATTTTCCACTCTGTCAGCTGGCATCTTCAGAGGCACCTCGCCAGGCTCATCAACCGGTTGACCTCCAAAAGTCGGGTGAAGCGCAACGCCACAAATTGCAGCAGCGAATAACGGTGTTCGAGCCTGAACTGAACCCCAACCAGACCCGATCCGAGTCCATGTCCAAGTCCAAGTCCAGGTCCGGGGTAAAGTAAAGGAACCTTAGCACGGGGGGCGTGCATACCATATTTTCGAGATGATATATGGGAGTACTTGGCCCGGCGGCCCGGCGGCAATTATGCGACTGATTTAGTGCGTGGAGCGAGGTGTGAAGTTGAGTGAAGCCCAAGTCGACCAAAGTCCCAGAAGACAAAACTGCAGTCGGTGGATGCTAAAAGCTTCCGACAGCCTCTCTTTTGATAACTTAATTTACGGCACGTCTTTCGGTCTTTCGGTCGGTGAAGTTGATGAAGTTGCTCCGACAGTTTGGCCAACATTGCGGCGATCCAACTGCAGTTACTTTCACTGTCACTTGCCTCTTGACTGCAGCATGTTAATTGTCTTTATAAATACAATCTGCTACATTATTATTTATTTTTTGTCCAAGCCTTCAGCTCCGGAGGTGTTCTAGACTGGACACACAAAGTCTTTGTCCATGTTTAGTGCGTAAAAAGTCAACAAACGTCGCCTTTGTCGATCTATTTTTGTGGGAAAGTGAACTCGTTAAAATGGGCCACCCATCCGTAACGAATTTCTCAATTAAAGATCGGTTTCGAACGTCTCCGAGCTTCTTGGTTCGCCAGCCTAGAATTCTTTATGTAAATTTAGATAATTGCGTCAATTTTAATCCCCCGAGATCATGATAAATAGATTCGGCACGGCAATCAGGCCTGAAAAGAAAAAAGGAAATTTCAACACAGTTAATTCCAACTATTCCAAATGGCCGGACCATTATATCACTTTCGGCACATAATACGATAAATTAATTTTACACAAACATTTTGCCCCTGGCTACGTCACGGATCCAAAGCAATCTAGTGAGCGATCTCACTTATGTTGGCTAGACGGCGGCCAAAAATTTATTGTTGGATTTCTCGGATCGCACAAAGTGGCAGAGGAAATGGAAGGTGCATGTTTTGGGAAGGCCTGGCCGAATAATAAATACCCTAAGCGAACTGAATTGGTTCAACCTAAAATTTTCAGTCAAAATATATACAAAAGTATTGAAAAATCGTATCCGATCGTATGTATTTTTAGCTCGCTAATGTTTTTATACTTCTAAACTGTTGGGATAAGGGCCCTCAAGCAAATAAGCGATATTACACTTGCAATCATAATTAAGAGTTCGAATTTTATGTGCCAACATATACATACATATATTTCCCGTGGACTTTTCCATCCTCAGTTTCATGAGATATATTTGAAGATCCGATTTTCGGTGGATACTTCTGCGTGTAAGCGAGTGGGTGGCGGGCAGATGACAAGCTATTGTCAGCGATGTGGCTCATCATCAGTCAGCAGTGGCAGGAGTGGCAGGAGTGGCAGGAGTGGCACCGGTGGTGCTGGTGGTGCTGGTGGTGCTGGTGGTGCCGGTAGTGGTGCTGATTTATGCGCCGGGCAGCATGGGACTGGAAATACCGCGAAAGTGTTTTGTTTTAGATAAGATTATGCGCCAGAGTTTTCTGGGTAGCGGACGTCGCAATATGTCAAATGGATTTGCCAGCGTGGGCTGAACTTTTGGATGGAGGAGCTCTTCCTCTGCAAATGTTTTTCCGGCAGCCGCTCGACTTTTCTTCTATACTTCTATATTTGTGTATTTTTAGCCAGGTGGCAATGAACTGTTTCGTCTTGGTCTGTGGTCTCCTCTCCACTTGTCGGTTACATAAAAAGGTCTAGGCCAGATGAGTTGGCTAAAAGCATCGATCTTACCTCTCCCGCCTGCATTGACAATGTTGTTAAATTATGCGTAAATTCGTAAGGCCGAAAACATTTTGTAAACGGCCCCCGAAGTCGTCGATGGTTTATGAAGTTGGCCGCTATATAAATTACAATGATTAATGACATTTTGCACGCAGTTCTCGGCAGCTGTGGCTGCCGTGGTTATTGGCGTTGTTTTACAATCATTTTTACGGTCAATTCATTTTCACCCAGGTCGATTCACTTCAGGTCCAACCAGCAGATATTCCAGCGGTGCCCATAACCATATTTTTGGCAATGAATTAACACAGAAGGCTGCGGGGAAAATGGGGCGTATGAGTAATATGATAATATTACTCCCATTTAACATTTAGCCAAGGGGCTCTTGGATTTTATTTTTTGTAATCAATTCGAATAGCCCAGTAAATTGGAAACATATTTATGCTTTTCTTATGCCATTAATAGGCTGTACATACCAATGTATATTTTTAGGCCTGGAAAATCATATGCATTTACCGAATTAGTTTTATGAGACCCCATACTCAAGTATTTTGCAAACATAAAAGTTGCAAGACTTTCTAAAACTTTACATATAGTTCTGTGCACTTTTAGCAGAGTTTCCATGCATTTCGTTCTTTCGCATACAGCGCGATAATGTAAGCGGATACATATTCGTCTATATAGACATTTCCATACCGACACGTTCATGGTCATTTGAGTCGTAAATCTGTGGGCTCAGACATGCATTTCGCGGAGTTGGAAAAATTTGGGTTGGCACGAAATCGGATGGGCATCCAAAAAGCGGTCAACTTCACAGTGGCCAACGAACAAGTGGTAAACAGTCAAAACACGGCCACCTACAAGTTGCAATAAAACAGGAAAACCCAGGCCGAAACTGGATCAATTTATTAATGCACTTTGCGTTGGCGATGCAAATGCATTTTTTTCACGATTTTCCCCAGCAACTCGAAACCTTTGCAGCCAACCGGATTTCGTGCAAATCATGTGATTAATTCGAACCGAAATTGCTCACCGATAGCACAGATAATTTGACTCATTGCACAACACCTAAAGTCGGAATCAATCGCAATATCCCGGGAAAATTCTTTGGGCGCCAAGAAAAGATACTCCCCCACTACCAAGTCCAGCAATCATAATGTCATATCGGAAAGCTTAAGTATGTTATCTGTGCAATTGCCCCATAAAAGTTTCGACCTAAGTGTGTCACCTACTCCGCGGCCAAGTAGGTCTCTAGTAGTGCTCCCGGGGATTATAAATTAATTGCACTGTAATTGCCAATTGCCAGTGGTATCGTAAATCTAAAGTCGAGTAAAATACAAGTGAGCCGATAGAAGTTGATAAGAAAGTGTTGGGCATCGCGGAGTTCCGAGAATTATTTGAGTAAACTGCAGTTACAAATATCTGCCTTCAAATATCTGGCACTCGCACGCACCGAACTTTTCCAAAGATTTGAGAAATTTCAGTCTTGTTGTTTACGCAAGCCAAACATTTGGGAGGGAAAAGCGAAAGTTCTGCTTTTCTTATGGTTGCTGAG